TTGAAGCAATTGAACCTAAGAAGTTGATTAGTGTTAAGAAAGAAGGAATCCCCAATTCCTATAGGACGTCAATGCTTACATATCCATAAAGGAGCTATGATTCATAAACTATAGATGATTTTTAACATCATAAAGCTCTTGTTCTATGTAAATTCAATGATTCAATACAAAACCAAAGAGATAATCTAACATTAGCTCATTCAAGTGCCAAGCTCATGATCAAACCATTAAGGGAAAATGACTTGTAAGGGTAACAGAGTATTAGAATTGTACAAAAAATACCATTAAACTTTTTTTGTACACACATCACCAATCAACTATAACTTTTGTACATATATGACCATTAAACTTCACATTTGTTCAAAAAATACCATTATATTACCAGTAATAATAGATCATCAGCCACGTAGCATGCCGTGTGGCATGCCATGTGGCTGCTGATGTGGATTTTATTGTTTATTATGTACACATTATACCATTAAACTATTTTTTTTACACATTATACCATTAAACTTTTTTTTGTACATATTTTACCATTAAACTTTTTTGTACACATTTTACCATTAATGTTATATAATTTATTGAAAAAAATATCATTTTAAAAAAATATTAATTATTACATAAAAGTAGGTTTCCCATCACCTGATGTGGATTTTACTGATTTTTTAAATTTTAGTAAACTTATCATTATAAGTGATTTTTCTATCGGTAAACAACGACATAATTTCAATGTATTTTTTAATCATCAACCATAATCAAGAAGAGGGGGGATTATAATAAGGTAACATGTACAAAATGTTTCATGAGTTTATAAGTGTGCCTCAAACGTAGTTTCCTAAGAAAATGACTTATAAGAATATGTTTATTAGACATTAGCTAAAATAATGAACAACTGAGTATTTCTTCACCACTCCAGATAGAAGTCTCAAGTTCAAACCTTGTGAGTTTCAATCGATGTATCACCAACATAAATTCACAATGTAGTTGTAAAAGAAAATGCTTAGTATCATTGTCAAAAACAAACCCTTTCCCCCAAACCTTACAAAATCAGGGGTCACAATACGTAATGGAAAACCCATTTTATGTAAAAATATGTATAGTTTGAAATGACGTTTTTTGAATAAATTATATAAGATTAATGGTAAAATGTGTACAAAAAGTTTAATGGTAAAATGTACACAAAAAAAAGTTTAATGGTATAATGTGTACAAAAAAATAGTTTAATGGTATAATGTGTACATAATATACAAGAAAATTCACGTCAGCAGCCACATGGCATGCCACGTGACATGTTACGTGGCTGGTGACCTACTAGTACCGGTAACATAATGGTATTTTTTGAAAAAATGTGAAGTTTAATGGTCATATATGTACAAAAGCTATAGTTGATTGGTGATATGTGTACAAAAAAAAAGTTCAATGGTATTTTTTGTACAAGTCTAATACTTCGTTACCCTAACAAGTCATTTTCCCAAGCATTAAACAAGTATAAGAAATATGATCTAGAACCATAAACATAAGATAATTGATAATCTACCATGAATCCTTCAAAAACCCACAAACATTCAAAGGTTTTAACCAAAGTTAACCAATATAGAGAATTTAGCCACTCATGGCAATAGAAAAACAATCACAAAAGTCTAATTACATAAAGAAACTACCAATATCTTGGAAAGATGAAATGAAATGAGTCTTCAAGCTCCAAAATCGCCTCCTACAGGTCTCCAATGGTGAAAAATCGAGAATGTAGCTAATGGATCTGATCCCCCCAGGTTATGGTGTGCCAAATGACCAAAATGCCCAAACTGGGCAGTTGCGCGGGTACCCGCGCGACGAAAATTCGACCCTCGCAAGTGTTGTTGTAATGCTATTGGCTCTTCATTCCTCCACTCCACCCTTCCACTACCAAAGATTCCCTTGGTCCCCTCCATATCCATGTGATTTAAATTAACCAATCATATTTTAGCTTCAAATATGGATGCTCCAAGCCCAAAATAAAAGTCCAAGATCCATCTTCACAAGCCCACTTCATCCAAGCTTTTAGCTTTTTAAGCCCAAATCTTCTTTTATGGATCCGCCAAGCCCAACAATGCATCAGAAGGCCCACTAAGCCCAACTCCAGTCAATCCGCGACCGCAATGAGCTCCAAAATCCTGCAAAATTTCTTATGCAAAATAAAAAGTCCCCGATACGATCCATCAAAAAGAAAATAAAGAATATACAATGCAAAACTAATTAAAAAGAGCTAAAAATCTAAAATAAACTAATAAAAATAAGGAAATAAAATAAGCTACAAAAACCCAATAAAGTGATAATAATAAGATCTAAGAAACTACTAGACAAGTTGATGCTTGATTACTAGAAAATGATGAGGATGGAAAGAAGTCTCTGGATCTACTATCTTCTCCTTGAATCCTCTAGCTCCTTCTTCTTCCACAAGCTTCAAGAACACACAAAGATCACTCAAAAATGGCTCACAAGTTCACACAAGGCTCTAGGGTTTCGTAGATTAAGGTTTGGGACTTGGAGGCTGGAAATAAGGCCAGAAAGTGGGGATTAAGATGCTTAAATAGGGTACAAAACCCCGAAATTAGGATTTCACTCTGACAAACCTACTCATCGAAATGAGGGCTCTCAACTCGTTGAGTAGATTGCTTAAAACCCCACGGCCAATCTCGTTTCTACTCGACGAGCCTGGGGCTCCCAACTCGTCAAGTAGCTCTACAAAAGTGAATAAATTATAATTAAATGCATACCAGGAATCTGACATTACACACTAGGTACTTTATAGACTAAGGTAACAAGTAGATAACATAAAATAAGAAAGAAACGAGAACACAGAATTAGCAACGAGATCTGAAAAACAAGGGAATAAGAAGATTGCTTGGAGTCTAAATATTATTGACTTAATAAACTTATTTTGGAATAATAAAACAAAGGTACGTACCACCCTTATTTATACTAATTCTATAAGAGACCTACTCAACCACAAAAACTAGGACAACCATAATAAAAAATAAACTTTCCTATTTCATTTGAACTAAAAATCTCTGTTTGATTCAAACCGATTATCCCAACATAACTCATCAAATATAACCCCAAAAACAAAAACATTATAATCTAAAATCATCTATAAGCTCTAAATTATACGATGGACAAAACCGCATGTGAATACAAATTAAAACGAATGTAATATGCTTAGTTAAATAATTTCAGAAAATATAATTTTTTTTCAAAAAAATATGTCGGTCCAAAACCGGTTTTTACACGAAACTGGCCAGACCGGACCAATTATCCTCAAATCCTAGAACCGAGAACCGGCCAACGAGTCCAAAAAAAGGTCCGGTTTGGTTTGGTCCATAGGTCCAGATACCCACCCTATATCAAACAATGAGATTTCTTGTGATTGTTTCATCCCAATTCGTTGCACTTCCAAAAGAAAAGAATTAAGAAAAACATGAAAAGAATTTGCACTTCCAAAACAAAAGAATGCCGTAGCAAAAAGTTTCATCTATATTTATAACTTACAACATGATTCTATGTTATTTTTTTTTCCCAACTCGAATTTGCACTTCGAAGACAAAAATTCTCGTTATATGTTATGAAGATAGATGAAAACGAAGCCGAAAACATCTTCTGCAATCTAATGCACAAACATTATTTGACTGATTCATGAATTAAGTTAATACGATAAGTGAAGAACAAGTCATATATAAGAAAACTCAATTAATTATTATCCTACATATAATGTCATGAACAAAAGCTAAAGAACCCAATCATAAGGATTAAATATGCATAAAAAAATTAATAACTACATATATACAAACTGAAAATTATATTATCATATTAAATCATTTTATTGGTATAAATTGGATTAACCGGTCCTTATGAAAAAAAAAAGTAAACAAGTTAAATTGATCAAATACAGAAAAAGCAAATCATAATTATTATATGTACAAAATAAAAAATTCATTAATTATCCCTTCAATAATACACAAATGTAAACGAACAAAAGATTCATTCTTTGTCAATAAAGACAAAGAAGAAAAAGAAAGTAAAGTACACTTGTATTTTCGGAAAGCAAATTTCTAATTGAAGTATAACCGTCCATGGTAGCATACCCTATAGATATTGGCCACCATGTTTCAGAAGAACCCAAAAGGTACAAACAGGAAACAACATATATATACACACATTATGTTGTTTTCTCCATGTGTTTTGTGGACATGATGATGATTGGCCATTAACATGTCATGGCATGGCATGACTCATCCATTCTTAGTTTTTTGCTTCTATATACATATAGATGATGATGATGATGTTCTAGAACAATCATAGTGGACCTCATGGTTTGCATATCATATTTTCATGCACGGTCAGCATCCATATAATGAAAACCCAACAATAAACAATTATTGTATTTCCCATCAGTTTTTTTTTATATAAAAATATGTTAAGTTGAATTGCAAAACTCTATAACATGTTAAATATGCATTATAAATTATGGATTTGTTACAAATAAATAAGCTGGGCCGAATAGAAAGTTGTTTAAGTGTATCTAAATGTTTACAACATTTTAATTGTTTTCTTACTTAATAGATTTAATTCTGAAATGATATCTGTTAAAAATAAAACGATCTAAACGTGCGTTTTTACATGTAATTTGTACTTTATCTTAATACAATCCTTTTTTTTTTTTTTTAAATTTAATTTAATACATTAATTATCAATAATTAAACCGAAGAAATCAATAACGAATCATTTCGATCCAATTCCATGGGTAATTGTCCAAAGTCCAATTAAACTCACTTGACTACTACCAATCCATCATATATGCCCGCACACATAAACCACATATAATTCAGAATTAAGATCTTTGTAACACTCTAGAAAATAATGAATGATATAGAAAAATCATTATCAACTAAATCAAATCGAAACACTATATATAGTATATCATGGAGTGAATCATAATTTAAAATTTACAATATGGTTAATTATATATCATCAATATCATCATCATCTTCTTCTTGCGGTATGCAAGAGAGAGATATACGTTACATATATATTATATATATATCATATATAATAAGGTATAATATATTAAGAAAACAAAAAAAAAATAAAATAAAATAAAAAATAAAAAAAAAAATAATTCCGAAATGTGGCAAACAAAGGAACCCTCAATATAGCAAGTATTAAGGAAAAATATGGTTGCTAGTTGCATGAGGACCATAAGGACTCCCCCATGCCCATATTAGTTTGGTCAACCACCATGTCCATGCCAAAAAGGGACCTGGTTGGTGTTCGTGATTGGTGGTGTCGAGATGGTGGGGAGATGTTTTCTGGTGATTGATTGACAGGACTGGAAGAGAAGTGGCGCATCCGCATGTGAACAACTTCAGCCTGTGACACTGCCAATTGTGCTTGAAGTACGTCTATCTGTTGTTGTAGGGATGATATAGCACCCACGCAACCATACACTGGATCCCTGATCCTGGCGTTTGCCTCATACACCATTGAGCTCACTGCATCTCCTCTGTGGTGCTCGGGTAATTCCTATATTAAAAGTTATGTACAAATTATTTATAAGGATAAAAATCATATATATGTATTTATTCTTTTGAAAACCAAGAAATGACATTAAACACACATTCATAATCATTTCATATGATAAAGGGGCACACATAGGGATCCTCACGGCTTCAAGAAATATCATCCCGTTTGGGGCCCAAAAACTTGTCCTATGATTTCATTATTTTAAATCAAAAGAAAACAAGCTTGTCCATTGTCATCATTACTGATCGATTACGACAAATATTAAATATATATGTTATTTACTTTTTTTAAAACAATAATTATAATAAAAAATAAATCTAAGCTTGAAGAAAAAGAATAAAGTTCTCATAGCATGATGTTGCTTTTTCCTTTGGACAATTTTTTTAAGTAAATTCGTACACGTATTTCATTAGTTATAAGGAAAAGGTAGTTGAACCCCTTCCGTGCACATTACTTTAATTTTTCACACTTCTACCATAGAATCATTTGACCAAAAAAAAACATTATAGACGACTTGTATTCTAATTTTTTTCATTAATTAAAACATATGTGTTTCACACTCCTTTCTATTCATTCATTCCAAAAAGCTATACAGCACAACATGAACATTACTTTTCTTTAAGAACTTAGAGTTAATACTTAATAAGGGTTACAGTTTCAACAATTTACGTAAAATTTCGTGGCAGTGACGGGGAAAAGGTGGTGGAGCTGGTGGTGGTGATAGCTGAGATGGTTGTGGTGGTTGTAGGAGTGATGGTTATGAAAGTGGTGGAGGTGGTGACGCTGAATAGTGATATATGAATATTACATTTTCTGTCGTACCGCTACACCAAATTACTTAAGCGGCAATGAAAAGATGTGTAGCCTAGATTTATTCTAATATTCTGAACTATTTGTTTCAAGTTTATATGCAAACATAGTACTCAAACCAACCATACTAATTGTTTTATATCTTTTATACATTTTAATCTTTCAAAGTTTTTAATATTCACCTCTTAGCTTGATATACTTTTAAGGTTTAGAAATTTCACTATTATCTTCATGTTACATAATATATATAGTTTATTAAGATAATAGTAAAATTTCAAAAAAAAATTCAAATAAAAAACAAGATAATAGTAAAATTTCAAAAAAAAATTCAAATAAATCAAATTTGGAATTGAAGTTTAAAAACCTTATAGGATTAGTATATATATATATATATATATATATATATATATATATATATATATATATATATATATATATATATATATATATATATATATATATATATATATCAGCTGCAATTTAATTTGCAGTGTATCAAATACTCGCATCTTACATTACTTTGCTAAAAAAGAGATATTTACAGTGATACATTATAACAGAAATTCCAACGCAAAAGATTAAAAAACGGGTGGTGGATTTTTTGTTGCAGAAAGTATTTAAACTTGTAGAAAAGAAAAGGAAGTGATGGAATGAGAAAAAAGTCTAAGGAAATGATGGAAAATCATGATATAAAATAAAAAGAGGAGACAACCTGTCTAATATGACTTGAAATGACAAAAGCATATATATATATATATATATATATATATATATATATATATATATATATATATATATATATATATATATATATATATATATATATATATATAAAAGTAAGTTGGTTCAATAAAAAATATATAATTTAAACAATATGATGGAAGCATGATTAATTAATGACAAGTATCTATTTTTTTTATATATATATATATATATATATATATATATATATATATATATATATATATATATATATATATATATATATATATATAGTGAAGTACTTGCAAAGTACTACTTCATAACCAATCCTTGACTGTAAATTAACGTTGGCCCCATTCATTTTCAACAGTTAAATAACCGAAATCGCTGCAAAAAGCCGGTTCGAATATTGGTCGCAAAACTTGTATTATAAAAACGAGATAAAAGCGGATGTACCCGCTTACTCTCAATGTGGTTTTAAATTGTTTATTTGTAGTTGTATAGTTAATTTAATGTTTCAAAGAAATTTGATTATTTGGTTATTCAATGGAATCCTAAGACGATGTAAGTTATTAAACTTTAATATTATTTATACAGAAAAGACTCCAAAACCCATACAGAGAAATCTAGTCTCGAAACTTAAATGCAGACGAAATTCGCTGGTTGAAGTTACAATTTTTGCTATACCCTCATACATCTAGTTTAACCACATAAATTAGTAAAAGGGGACGAATGCAGCTGTAAGCAAGTATCAAAAAACTACTATTCAAAGAATTGACATGAAGATTTTGTTGAAGATCGAGAATCCACAAGATAGTGATATAGTGCACTATTTGCCATGTTGCCCAAATATTAAATACAAAAACAAAAAAGATAAAAAAATGCTCTTAACATGACAAAAGATGGAAGTGGAACCAAGGGTTACCAATAACGATTGATAGTTTGCTACGTTTTATTAAAAAGATTTCTATACCACCAAACTATTGATTTGCAAAATCCGTCATAATTTAATTTCTGTATTTAGTAAAACGGTTACAAAGTTGGAATTTAGAATGGTGTTAACAGATGTGAATCAGTGACAAAAACTAGGGTTTACGGTCAATGCCCCGACATAAGTCTTAATGTAACCACTCTTATAACTAACGCATTAAAAGTTGTACATTTGGTAAGAACAAAATGTCAAAGTCGAGATGTAATGGTTTTATAATTCACTTGTCCGACAACAAATTTAATGACTTTTGTTGCATTTTGACTTTTACCAAATCTGATTTTAACTAAACATCTTTAACAAATCTAAATTTAGATTTGATTGGACTTATTCAAGTGACTTAATGTTATGCTAAACGGGTACCCGAGTTTGTGGTTGAGTTAGCGTTATTTGGTCGGTTGATTGAACTCAATTGATTCAACTTTTTAATGGTTAAAAGAAAGTAAGACTGTTTAACTGTTTAACCGTTCCAAGTCGTTTGATTTGTTCACATACGGAACCAAACACACTGAATGCTAAGCAAGAAAGAATGCAGTGCGCGGTGGAGGTGGTGGTGGTGGTGATGATGATGAAGGAGGAGGAGGAGGAGGGAGATGCAACGGCTAACCTGGAGCATTTTGTTGACATTGCTAGCACCGAACACCTTATGAACACTTGCGAACTTGTGAGGCTCGTCGGCGGGGAAATAGGGAGCAAAAACACAGTCTTGAGAGCATCTCCGCCGCAGAAGCTTGCAAGCGGCACAAGGTGACGCCGCCCCTTGTTTTCTTCCGGCGCCACCACTGGTACTGCTCTCTTTCATTGAATTAACAGTGTGTCTGTGTGTGATCAAATATCCGACTGCATGCAAATATATTGGACCAATGAAAAAAGCAAAAGAAATGAGGGGTCATGGAAGAAAGGCGATTGTGGTGATATATAGACAAAACTGGATAGCAGAAGATCTATAGTGGGACCAAGACTTCCAGAATCTTTGATTTCACTAAAAAACAGAAGATAAAAAAACCCACCATTTTTAAAAGGATTATGTTCTAAAATAAGAGAAATGGAGGGGACTAGGAATAATCACAAATTTTATAAGACTGTATATGGGAAATGTTTTTTTTAATATTTGGTAAATTACTTTATGAATAATGCCTAGTAGGCTAATACAAAAAGCTTTTATTTGTTAATTATCGAAACATAAATTCGCAAAATAAGAAAGGCATTTCGTAAATTAACAATAAGAAAAGTAAATTTGTTAAATTAAAATCATTTCACACATCAAATAAGTTCGCTGGTCGAAAAATATGTCTACCTAAGGGTGAACAAAACCAAAATTCATTTTCCATTTTGGTAATATGGAGTTCTTTTTGCTAAGTGCAAATAATCATAATACTAACTGATATGACATGGAATCAAACTATTGGGTCTTGGTGTCAGATTTGGAGTAGGTGTCGTTAGTGTGTTCCTGGCTGCAATCAGACAACAAAATTGTTAGATTGTCTCAGGGACTATGCCTTTACAAATTTTGACAATCAAGTTAGATCGATGTTAGAGAATGAGTTGTGCCTAAACTAGGCTGGCCCAGAACTATGTTATGATGCAAGTCCTCTAAAGCGCACATAGCCTAGTCCCTTAAGTGCACACAAACTACCCCTTGAATAGTTGTGCCTAAACTAGGTTAGCTCAAGACCTAACCATCTCCTCGTACATATCAATCTAACTTAATCGTTGAAGTCTGCTCCCGAGTTACAGTCCGTGAGGTGGTCTAATGGTTTTGTTCTCTGATGGCAGCTAGGAATCATGTTGGGAACTAACCTACGACACCTACTTCATACCTACAATCCAAACCTGACACCTATACCCGGTGTCTCGATTCCATGTTACATCAGCGTGTCTTATGACTATTTGAACTTAACATAAAGAATAGAATATTACCAAAACGGGTAAAAATTTTTTTTGGCTTTTATCCGCATTTAGGTAACCAAGATTTTTTCGTACACATTTGACTAGTAAACATGTTTGGCTTGTTCATAATATGATAATATCATTGGTAATTACCAGTCATATTACCTTATTTTAAACATGTCAAACAAGTTTAATAGTCAAACGTATACGAAAGTTACCTAAATGTTGACAAGAACTAAAGTTCTTATCTTTCTAGGTGATTAGCTCAAAAATGTGTAAATCAACAACTGAGCATACGTCGGTAGCCGACCTTCCTATTTAATGTAATTTTTTTATTTGTCAACCAACATTTTAACACTATATTTAAAATGTTATGAAAAATTTGTATGGAGACCATTGCAATAGATTGCATGTAGTAAGTTTTTAACTTCATTATATTTGTATAGTCACTGAAAAATTTAAAATTTTCTTTATATTAAATGTTTCCATCTATGAAAAATAAGATTGTAAGTAAATCGGGTGCTTTTGTAGGTGACACTTAGGAAAATACCATATCCATATACGAAAATATCGTTTTCATATGTAAGGACCGGTATTTTCACAACCAATGCGTTTAAAAGTACCAGCCCTTATCCGTAAAAATGAGATTATCATCTATAGATATGGTGTTTTCGTAGGTGATACATGCTAAAACACTAATCCCTACCTTCGAAAATGGGATTTTCATAGGTGAAAAATCCCTAGAATTGTAGCTTGTATACATAAGTAAACCTTCTTTTTGTTAGTATAGCATATGAACATAGGTTTTAATGGTATTTTCGAAGGAAGTAGAATTGTTAAAAGCGAAGCGCTGCCTGAGTTTGGAATCATCACTTTAACAAGTGAGTGCATAGTTACTTTCATCTTATACATAGATATGAAGTATTCAATATAAATTACGTGCTATTTGTGCATATTATATGTGTTCTTGATATTTATGTTGGATGAACCGAATATACATGTTTTATTTGATTTAAACTATATATGTGTTTCAGACCTATAAAAATATCAGGTAAAGTTTAGTAGATGCATGATGAGGGATGAAAGATGATGTTGATGAACATTGACAGCTATGAACTTAGTTCCCTATAGATAAACATTGGTAGACACGCTACAACATGTAGATGTTTTTTTAACTACGCTGTACTCTAAACATCCTAGCAACAGTGCCTAAAGGATAATATCGACAGTTGCGCCCACTAGAGAACATCATAATCCTAGAAGTTGTGCCTAAAGGATAATATTGGCAGCTGTGCCTAATAGAGAACATCATAATCTTGGCAACTGTACCTAAATGATAACATCCGCAGTTGCGCCTAATAGAGAACATCATAATCCAGGAAGCTGCGCCTAAATCATAATATTGGCTGTTGTGCCGAATAGATAACATTGGCAGCTCTGCCATAGGTAATAATAGACTTTGTGTCTAATCCTTAGGAATGAATGAGTGAATGATAGATGATTCTTAAGGTAGATCCTTAAGAAATAAAGAAAATAATGGTGATGGGTAATTGGGTTAATTGTTTGATGATGAAACCTAATAACTTTATTATTGTGGGTTGAAAACCCTATGTACTCACCAGGTTTCCCAACCTGACCCACTCAGTTTATTTGTATCACAAATGTCGATATGAAGCTATATTACACTGAGAGACTAACGGAGATGTAGATCACTAGTGTAAATGAATGTAAGGTCTGTTTATGGTTATGTTTTTGTATTAACGATGACATCCGAAAGTTTTAATATAAACAAAATACTTTTCTTCGAAAATACTTTGATAGTATATTTATCATGTTTTTCTGGGAAAAATTTCCGCAATATTACTCTTTAAAATAAATACTCTGATTTTAAAATAAGCATAAATAAATTTTTTAAAATGACCATGAAATTGGGGATGTCACATAGAACCTCGGACTTGAAATCTCTTGTGGATTTCTCTTAATAGCAAACTTCTGAAAGTCTTGCCAGAGGACCTCGTTTAGATCGACGGTGTTGGTCCTCCCTGAGTACATGATGTAAACAACATAGAGCTAGTATTTTGCTCATTATGTAGCACCTGGTTCCTGGTACGTGAGTTTTGCCTAAGTACTTGTGTTTTTGGCCGTGGACTCGGCGAGTTGGAGGCCCGACTCGCCGAGTAAAGACGAGACTTTGGGGCGCGGTTAAGATGGCGACTCGACAAGTCCATATTATGGACTCGGCGAGTCCGCGCTGTCTGATGAAACCCGAATTTCCAAGGGTTTGCACCCTATTTAAACATCCATTTGCGCCCCAACTCCGCCTCATTCACCCCCAGAAGCTCTCCATACGTTCTAGCTCTTGTTCTTGTGAGTTTGAGGCATTTTAGTGTCTGTTCTTGAAGATTTTGAGAAGGAGGTGGAGTAGATCAAGAGGAAGGGAAGGAAGCCAAGCATCTTAGTGTTCTCTTAGTGATTTCTTTGAGGTAAAACTTGTTTTCCCCATATCTCTATGCTTATAACTCCATTAAAGTCTTCTTTGAGCCCTTCCCCAAGATTGTATGTGCATTATATTTCGTAATAAGTTGATTGGCCTCTAGATCTAGGCATGGTTGAGCTCCATGAGCTCAGATCTACTACCTTTATGGACCCATGTTGCTTGAAGACCTTAGATTTACTCTTTTGGTGCATTTTGAACCCTAAAACCCTCATGGACGAATATTTACACGTAAAGTTTCCAACTTTACGTGTTATTCATGCTCTAGGAACCCAGATCTATGAATGGCATGGACTAGATTCGAGCAAAATCGCGTATATGGCTCTTGCATGAAACAGACTCGGTGAGTCGCTCATCTGACTCAGCGAGTCTAGTCGTGAGTCTCCGAGATTGTCCCTTTTTAGCTGTGTCAAGTTGTGTAGTGAGTCCAGGGTGGACTCGGTGAGTTGGGAGCCAAAACTCACCCATAATGGAACTCGGCGAGTCGATGCCCAGACTCGGTGAGTTCAAGGCAATCTCCTTAGATCAAGATCAGACTCGGCGAGTTGTTCATACAACTCGGCGAGTCGCAACATAAGTGTTCATCGGATGAAGATGAACTCACTGAGTTGTTCATACAACTCGGCGAGTAGGATGAAGGACTTGAACATCAGTTTGGATGGAGAACTCGTCGAGTCAACGCCTAATTCGACGAGTAGAAAGAAAATCCAGGTCAGTAGATTGGACAGGGACTCGGCGAGTTGGCGAGCCAACTCGGCGAGTCGGGTCAACTGGAAGTTGACTCTGACTTTGACTTAGGGCATGATCAGGGTTAAAATGGTCTTTTTACCCAAAGGACAGTTAGCAGTATTTGATTTAGTAAGTTGTGGGAATTGCAGCCGAAGGATTTCTGGAGCAGCATCAGCAGTAGTAGACAGTCAGTTCCCGATCAGATCAGCAGCTACTCTGAGGTGAGTTGCCTTCCAGTAGCGGTGGGTCTAAGGCCACAATGCCGACCCACCAGTAGGAGATGTATGATAGATGATTGTCTATGTGATATCATCTAAGTTTGCTACTACTTGATATGTTATATGCTAGCATGATATGTCGTATGTGATAGTAGTAGAGTTCGGTTGTTAGGACCGAAGGTTAGTCGGACACCCCAGATATGTCTGATATTATGTTTGTGTTATGATATACGTGATGGCAGTAGTAGGGGTGAAATAGTCCCTGAGGTTCGAATTGTTAGGACCGAAAGGTAGTCAGCACCCCAGAATAGCTCGACATGGGTAGGTCAGTGCCCCATAATGGCTTGACACGGGTAGGACGGCACCCCATAATGGCCGCACGGGTAGTCGGCACCCCAGAATGGCCGTACCGGGTAGTCAGCCACCCCAGAATAGCCTGGCAGTATGTATGTTATGTATTGTATTGTATGTGGTACGATGGGGGAACTCACTAAGATTTGTGCTTACAATTTACAGTTTTGGTTTCAGGTACCTCTTCATCAAAGGGGAAGGAGCTGGCACGGTAGCAGCACATCA